CCCGAAACCCTAAACCCCAAAGAGTTCAGGGTTGAGGTTTCCGAAAGGTATATACCTTTCAATCTATAGTACGTATAGCAAAACTTGTCTACATAAGCACATGCATACATAAGTACTTATGCACATACATGCATACATGCACTCGGAAACCACATGCTTTTCAGCCCGGCATGCTCTAGCTGTAAGTCCGAATCCCTCAACCAAAACCTTAAACGGTTGTTGCGAGACTCGAGACCCTAACCCCTAAACCCCAAAACGGTTTAATATGGGGGCCTTAAGAATTGCCTACATTATTTTGGGGGTTTCTTATTGTATTTATACTATAATATACCTCAAAACCCGATTCTAATTATCAAGGCCTCTATATCAATTAAACCCTTATAGAGCCCTTATAACAACCCTTACATTATAGTAACCTTGTAAAGGAACCCTGTTCTAATTATTAAGGCCTCTACATTAAACTTGTTATAGACCTTTATAATAACCCTTTAAAGGAACCCTATTCTAAATATTCTTGGGGGATTTCATGCACGGTTCGAGGGCCATTTTGAGCTCAGGGCTTCCGGGCCCAAGCGTCCAAGTGGCCTCGAAACCCGCTAGACGGGGTAATCAGTGCCTCGGCATGAAGGGTTTAGGGGTGAGTTTAGGGTTTAGTAAGTAATTAAGGGGCGTGTCGGGTTCTGGGCATTCAATGCCGATTCGGATTTAGAGGGCTATGGGGTTTAGACTAGAAGGTTCGGGGTTTAGGTTCAGCGGAACTGCCGTGGAGTGTTATCAATCGGAGCTGCGAAATGCTTCGATTCATGTCGAGGAAGCTTTGACGGGTGGTTTGTTGCACGGTACTCTGCTTTGTTGATGTTTGCTGGCAGCTCGCTGATGCTCCTTATGTGGCATTTCTGCCTTTACAGCCGCGCATGTCCATACAACATGTATGTACATTCAATCCGGATATATATATATATATACACACATCATGCAACCACACACAACTTTATGTTTAGGCAACATGCTAACATGCATATGTACATTGTGAGAGTAGGTCTGTACCTACACACGTGTATGTACGTGCGTACATGTGTATGTATGTATGCATGCATTCAAGTATTTATACTCGGGTACTTTGTGCGTGTCTGCATGCATGTATGCATGCATCTTTGTATGGATGCATGTGTGCATGTGTTCATGCATGATGATGCATGCATGATGTATGGATGATTGACCGAGGGATGGAGGGAGGGATGGATGGATGGATTTATGTGAGCAGTCCGCAATGGAGCAGTGTGTAGGGTTGGCGGGGAAGGTTTTCCAGCTTACTGGCGAAGGGGGCAGGGGTATAGAATAGAATCTACGTGTATGCGGCTAGAGGGTTCCGTGTGGCACCTTGGTTGGGTTTACTTTACATCGCAGTGTATGTACAATGCAAGTCGTGCACGATCACGTACCCTGTAGGTTCTACGTGAGCACCGTCATCCCGAACGCCCAAATACATCTAACAAGGTCAGGAAGCAAACCTGTGCCAGGTTTGGCGTTTAGGGCCTCGCACACAAACAGCAAGCCTGTCAAGGTTGGCTGAGGAAGGAGGCCATCCGCGTGATGTCAGGATTAGAGAACCATAATAAGGGACTCAAAGCGGGCTGCACACCTCGGTTGCGTAACTTGGCTCCGGTTGTCCCGCACTGGTCGTTTTACCATGTGTTCGAAGCTACCTGTGAATAGTCGAGTTTGCGACGGATTCTAAAATGGCGATATTGCATGATTTTCTGTTTGTTCTCGTGACATGTGTATCAGGCCTTGTCAGGCCATACTTGCTCTGGCTGCTATGCTGTCTATACCGATGTAGACGGAGCACCACGAGACGAAGCTCCCACCACTTGCGCCGCAACGACGCCGACCACGACAAGTACTACTGCTGTATCAGAACTCGTTCATTACGTAGTAGCGAAACGGCTGATGCTATTGTTGATAATCGTGCTGCAGTAGGTGTCTTCTGTTGTTGCATCGATGTTGCTGCTATCATTTCCTTGCACTACTCATTACATAATTCGTGTTCATGTTAGCAGGTGTTTCTATATATTAGTATATATTATCGTTTGTTGCTCGCTGTTGTGTGCCTGGGTAGTGCCTGTGACATCCTGTGACTACCACCAGTTGCACAGGCCGCCAACATGAAAAACATGCGACGATCACGAGCATTGCTTCGATGTGATTACGAGAATTATTGTCGGAAACCCTAAACCCTAAGCCCTACACCCTAAACCCCAAACCCTAAACCGGTTGGCATGTGCTAGTAAAATTGTCGGCCATTTTCCCCAGGGCCGGCAAACCCAACTCGAGCTCCAAAGCAGGTGCCCAAGGAGGCTGTGATCGGCGCCTCCCGGCTGGTATACGATGCTGATCGATACGTGGCGCCGTTGCTAGCAGCCCACACACACATATATATATATATATGTGTGTGTGGGTTTATGTGTATATGTATATATGTATATATACATATATATATATATATATGTATATATATATATATATATGTATATAAGTAAACAGAATAGCCCCACAGCATCTGCGTTTTAATCTAGCCTCCGGCCTACACAGACAAAGCCCCTAAAACCTAAAAACTTAAACCCTAAACCGTAAACTCATCCTCTTACCCATAGGCCCCATAGTAGTTCCTTTTTGGGGTTCATATTTAGAATGATATAAGGTAAACCCAAAAAGGAACTACTATTGGGCCTATGGGTAAGCTCTGTTGCCAAGGACTTTGGCTGCGGCGATGCGCGGCTCGCGCTTGAGCTGAGCAAGCGGAAGGCTGCCATCAGACTGTGGAAATTCCTCTAGTGGGGCCAGCCCCAGCGTCCCTGAACTCTTTTTAAGTTTAGGGTTTGGGGTTTAGGTTTTAAACCCGGCGCTACTTCCCAGATGCAATAGTCTGGACGTGCTGCATCCCAGATTGGCATAGGCCCCATAGTAGTTCCTTTTTGGGGGTCATATTTAGAATCCTATAAGGTAATCCCAAAAGGAACTTCTATGGGGCCTATGGGTAGTGGCCGCAAGAGCGCATTGCTTTACGCAATAACGAAGAGGTGAGGATGCATCCTGGAAGAAACTGGCCCGTAGAGTGGTCCCTACTACAGCGCGCAACCCGGGGTTGTGACAGCACAGCGAGTTGCTTTTCACACGGGAGGTTCATTCCTTCGACCTCGTCAAGATCAACGAGAGGTGCTACTGTTTAACTATGCGTTGTTCTGCAGATTCTGTTCGGTTCAGCTCCGTAGCCAACTGGCCAAGGCCATGCTAAAGCCTTCCCAGAGCCCAATACCCCTTAATTAAGGAATATAGCTTAAATCATAATATTAAGGCCCCTATAATTTAAGCTATATTCCTTAATTAAGGGGTATTGGGCTCTCTGGGTTCGAATCGATTGAATGCTTCTGTCAGGGTCACAGCCTGCAACCTGGCCCACGTGCCGCTGCCCGACGCGTCGCTGGACGTGGCCGTGTTTTGCCTGGCGCTGATGGGTACAGATTGGATCAAGTTCGTGGAAGAGGCCATGCAGTCGAGGGGGAGCATGAGCCCTCCGATATCTTGTGCTTTGCCTCAGCCATAAACTGTAGCCGTGACTCCCGAATCCGCATTTGTTTAGAGTGTCAAGAGCTCGAGAAGTTTTCAACCAGCCCAAGAACGTATTTCCAGTTCTCTGCGCGCTGGATCCCTGCATTCTAGTATTTTTTCCTCGTCGTGGTGGTGCTGGGTGTGGTTGCTGCGGTGGCGGCGGTGGTGGTAGTAGTAGCAGTAGCCTCAGGAGTAGTCGTGGCAATCGGAGCAGTAGCGGTAGCGGCACAGGGGCCATCTTGCAGCACAGTGAATCTTGAACCCTCAACCCTAAGCCCTAATTACACCATATTACACCCCTAAACCACTAAACCAAACCCTTAACCACTAAACCCCTAGACCCTAAACCACTAAACCCCTACTGTAGACCCTAAAACCAACAAACCCTTAACCCCTAAACCCTTAAACCACTAAACCCTAAACCCTTTGTTTCTAGAGACAAAGCTCGGGAAGCTTCTTGGCTCGGCAGGCACACCGCTGTTTGAAGCCGGGAGGTCTTCGGCCTCGGATTTCGAGACTGGGTGCCGGGTTTTTGGGATAAGGGGAGGTTTGGGTGCCGAATTTGGGCTTTGGTGTTTTTTTTGGACTTGGAGCTTTGGATTGTTTCGGGCTTATGAGTTCAGAACTCAGGACTCCAGTTTTAGTTTTGTCTCGGCCTTCGAGAATGCTCGCTAGTTTGTGCTGGGCAGTTTCTTTGCAGGATAACGTGGGTGTGTTTTCAGTTCTCAGGCAAGCTTGCCCTCGTGTTTGCTGGGTACTCGGTTTGGTTGTCTGCAGTTCGAGGCCTCCAGACACAGTCGCGTGTACGGTTGCAGGTGGAAAGTCACGTCCACCATGCAAGCACCCCTGTGTGAAAACTCAAATGCCGCGTAACACGAAAGGTCTCTGCCACATTGTGGAGGTGGAGTCCAGATTCGCCGATGTGCAAGCAGTCGTCAGGAGTGGGGCTGCGAAAGGAGAACGCAGTTTCATCTTACAAGCCATGTTGGCTACAACCAAGCTGAAAGTCTGTGAGGGTGAGATGCTGGCTTTCCTTCACTAACGACTTCCCAAAGATCTTGTACTTGTAAGTCGCAGTATTCGGGGTGGAGGAACTTCCAATGCATTCATGCACGGGCTTGTTAATTTGGAGGCTTCAGCATGCAACTCTAGGACCAAAGGCGGCTTAGTGGGCATGCGGCATGCGAGACCCCAACATCGTGCAGGCGAAAAAAACAAGAGTAGGCTTCCTGGGTAAGGAATCCTGCGTGAACCTTCTCTGTTAATGGTCATGCTGGCAGTCCCCTTTTAGCTTCAGATCTCCCCCAAAACTTAGACTCAGCGTTTGCCTGTGTGTTGGTTTCGCCTACGAGGACGATAGAGGCAGTGGGTTTCCAGCGCCTCGTCGTGACTCCTGGGAGTGGCTTGGTTGGGTTTAGGGTTTAGGGCCATGCTCACCTTTACGATGACGCTTTGTTTTTGTTGCTATAGATATAACTTGATACATGCTGCTGCTGGTACTACCGCCACAACTTAAGCCCTACGCCGTACCCTATACCTAACCCTAAACCCTAAGGCCCTAAA